ATTATGAGTCGGGTAGATTAAAGTGCATTATTTTGCATATATAATTGATTACATGTGTTAATTATTTAAATTAAATTAAGTTTTGTAGGTGAATAGTCAAAATGGATTTGCCAAAGCCAAATATACCTAATGAGCAATATAGTGCTTCTTTAGAGTCATAAAATAGTGTGATGTTGTTGGCTATTATTATAGCACAGGTAATAGGGGATGCATAGAGTAAATCAATTGAGTGAAAAGAACAAGTGGGAGATAAGCACTTACAAACATTATATAAGCCGAAACCTCTTGTTCAAAGAAATTGTAGGACTTTAAGTTATAAACTTGCTAAGGATAGAGAAGATCTTTGATAGCATGCAGTGTCCGGAGAGTAGAAAATGTGTCATTAATTATGTTCCTCTTTGAAGGAGAAGATGAGAGATAGTGAGTTGGACAACATAAAGAGAAATTTTAGGAAAAGATTAATGTTGAGATCACTTGGGATGAATTTACTACTCTATTCAAAATGTGGTTTGCACCTCCTTCAGTCCGATTAAATGCAGGAAATTTTCATCAAGTTAGAGAAGGGATACAAGACAGTTATCCAGTATAAAATGTAGTTTAATGATTTTGCTAGGTAAGCTTCTCATTTGATCCCTACTATTGAAGAAAGTGTATTATAGATTTCTATAAGGGTTAAATAATGAGTTGAGATAATCATTAGTGCCTTTGTAAATTCAAGATTTTTTAAGTTCGTTGAGCAGATCTGACTAATAAAGATTGATTTAGCAGTATTGGAATCCTGTATGATGTAGGCTCCAAATATGATGTTAGTAGGAGGGCATAGCTGAACCAAGTAGAGAGAGAGAGATAAATTTAAGAAGAGTATGTCTAGTGATTCAAGATTATTTATATCGATAGTAACTATTGGAAGAAGGAGAGATTTAGGTCAGTGCCACTGCAGTAAAATACTCTATTATCAGCAAACAAAATCTGCTAGTAATAGTAGAAATCTGCCAGAAATTCCCTCTTTTTTGCGAATTTCTATCGTAAAATGATTCGATGGTAATTTTTGCATCGTAAAATCTAAACCGATAAATTTTTTTTTTGTTAGAAACATTTCTGACAGCATTTTCATCAAAAAATGATGGGAAACTACCATCTTTTCATTAATGTATTCTGACATTTTATCTGCCTGTACTTTCGGCGAAAACTTATATATCGGCGAATAATTCACAGGCTTAGTATGACGCACTATTATCGACGGATATAACTGACGGACTATCCTCTGGAAATTCTGACGTACATTTACGTCGGAAATGTCACTTTATTTTGGGGCATGCTATATCTTAATGGGGCAATGTTCTTGGTGTGGAAAGCATAGACATAATATAAGGATTTTCCTCAAAGAGGATTTGGATAAAGGACTAATTTGGGAGTATGGCAGTCCATATAGATTAAAGGACAGAGGACTATGGGGTCGAAAGCTTTCACTAAAAGATTAATAAATAGGGCAGTTAATAGAGCAGTCAATGGTTTTGGTACATCGACAGCCCTGAGAGGACTTATTCTAGTGATTCCACATGTGTGTAACTTGTAGTATCGGGAAGACTGACAACCTAAGAATTCTACTACTAAGAAATGTGCTTTAAATAATTTAATGAATAGCATTTCATGCATAATTTAATAATATGTGATGGAATGAATTTCATGACTATTTTTTATGACTTTTGATTTGATTAGAATTTTGATCTTATAAATTTGATTTGTATTAATTTTATGCCCGAATACTTAAGTAAAATATTAGGAAAAATATTTTTTTAATGCGGATAGTTTATAATAGCCCATATTTGACAGAGTCAAATGAAATTTTTTAGGAAACATTATAAGTCTAAATCATAAATCGTCTTCACTATAACATAGATATTATATGTAGTGATTAAATTATACTTTTTTTAGTTTGTTAGCATTGGTACAAATTCTTAAAAAATTGACATACGTTGGTACAATTGGAGATTTTGGGACCATCGGCTATCCGTTTTGTTAAATGATTTCATCAAAATTTTTTAAAAATGATGGGCTATATTATAAATTTTTTTTTCAAAATTTTTAGATTTATAGATTTGAAGATATAAAATAATTTATATAATCTTTATATTTAAAACTAAAAAATTTATATAATTATATAATATTATATTAATATTTTAGTATAAATATCACAAATCACTAACATAACCCACTAATTCTATTTTCTCACTAATTCAATTCAGCTTAGTAGGGGCTATAAGAGAAATTTAGAGAGAAAAAGAAAGTTAAGATTCAAAGGCTATAGAGCAATTTTTGTTCGTTGAATTTATTGGGAGATTTGCTCATTTTATCGTAAGGAATCACTATCCTATTTTTATTTTAATAAATTGGTAATTTCTAGATATTTTTTATCAAATTTGTATCTTTGTTACCAGAAAAATAAAGAGAATTTTGTACTGGTAAAACTTTCACCAAATAACTTTTTATATGTTATATAGATTAAGAATATGAATATTTTGAGTATTTATTTGAGTTTTTATGAGTTGATTTTGATAAAGTATCAATATTTTTCATTTAAAAATTTATTTGGATATCTGAAAATAGTACTTTAGTTCAATTAAAGCTTCAAAATATTGTTATACATGATCTATGATAATTTGGTTAATTTTAAAAATATAAATATATGCTTAGTTAGCTTTTCTGTTACCTATCATTAGGATATTTTAACACTTTTTGAATTAAACATATTTATGCTTTATTTACTATAATACATTAAAAATGAATATGAGTATTAATTAAATAAAAGATGGTCATTACTACTGTTATAATACTATGATCATTAAGTGCATAGAAAAAAATTAGTAAAGATTGATTATTCACTAATATTGGGTAGAGACTGATTGACTTGCACAAGATGGTGGGTTGACATGTTGGGTGTTATCCTTTACTAATATAATGATACAACGATTGAGAGTTATAACGAATTATTTTTGTGATGATGGGAAAAGAGTGACAATTATGTTTATTGATCCAACAGTTTATTGATAGTAATATGATATTGGAAAAATATCCATTAAGTTAGGACTCTTTACTTATTTAGTGTAATTAATTAAATGCATATTATTTATGTATTATTCCTATTACTACATGGATTTATTATTATTAAACAAATTTAATATTATTATATTAATTTACTATAACTTACACTAGTTTTATTGATACTGATATGGATATCGATACTATTATTAATACTACTACTGATTCACTATTACTGTTAATTTTATTGGTTCATTTGTATTGATTATTGATACTATGTATGTGATATATTGAACATGTAATAAACTAATTTGATAATGATTTAGAATATATGAATAGTATGTGTATATTCCTATATGATTTTATTGCATTGATATAATTTTGAGTCTTTATCGATACTTTGGTTTTATCGCTTTATATAATTTGTTTACTGATTGATAATTCTGATATGATGTCTACTTTAGTGATTTAACATTTATATTCGTTTAATGATTTCTTTATTATACTATTGGTGGAAAAAATTATGTCACCACGCAGATTTGATTTTCTCCTATTTTGTAATCGAATACTGCATTGAGAATAAAGTACGGTCTCGAGAGGCCGACACAATATTCTATAATGGATTCAATATCAAAATAGGGTTTTGAAAATTGATATTTCTATAATCAAACATAGTTCAAAGAATAACATATCATCTCAAAAGATGAACATGAAATTCTATAGAATATGTTTAAAAATAGAAATAAGTT